ATTTATATATTTTTTAATTATTATCTTGTTTGTATTAGTTAATATATTATATTATTAAAAATTTGTTTCAATTATATTTTAAGAGATTATAATTAATTAATTTTTCAAGATGTTTTTTTGGTCAGTTTACATTCTTATCAACTAATTTTGTCAAATATGATTTGTTCATCAATTAATAACTAGTTTATCAGTCATCAGTTAGCTTATCAACTAGTTTGCCAAACATAGCCTAAAGATGGTCAAAAACCATCCTCCGATTAGGCTAAGTCGGTCCTAGACTGGTCTTGGTATCAACTAGTTTGCCTAAAGATGGTCAAAAACCATCATCCTGTTAGGCTAAGTCGGTCTTAAAGTGGTACTGGTCCAAAGAAGTAGGCTTGCAACCAGGCCGTACGTATCGATGCCAACCAAAAATATTATGACTGATCCTAAGCTTGACAACATGTTTTGACCCCGGCCCAATCTAAAAAACAATAATAAAAAATTAAATTACGTTACACAAACATATTATACAAGTTTTTATAATTATGGTTTTCTGAAACGAGTAATAAATATACTTTAAATATTAAATTACTTGAGTTCTTTTCTTTGAAAAACTTGTATTACAATTTTAAAAGATATTTAAATATCTATTTATACTACCTTATAAATCAGATTTATCAAAAGTCTTAAACGCATTTTTTAATGCATAAAATAAAGTATTATACATTTCTGCATAAAGTTTTAAAAGTCTTAAAAACAACTCATAATACATTAAGTATTACTATTTTATGTATTCAGTTTTAAAATCTTGTAATTTACAATTAAAATAACATATAATACAAGTTATCAATGCACATTATTACCTTTTTTTTTTCTTGTTCCCAAGATATTTTGATATCTTTCACTCATGCCTTCACCCTCTCATACCTCTATGTTTTCTCCCCATCCCCCAATGTGAGATTCAAAATGATATTTACCATGAGTTATTAAAAGTTCTCTCATCCATCTCTCATTCAACTGCTCTCGAACTCTCGGTTTCGCTCTCGATCTCTTGATTCTTTGCTCTTAGTGTAAATCGAACACATTTATGGAGTCGTTAAAATATGTTGGATTTTAAACTGACATACATTTTTTAATTGATAAACTGTAATTGGAACCAAAACTCTTATTTATTCAAATTGTATTAATATGTAAATACCAAGTGTAACTTATATCATCGTTAACTCTTCTCTAATAAAATCAATAAAACTTCAAAATCGTTAAAATTCACGGCTCCCGCCGCATTGTACGGGTACACAACTAGTTAAGTTTACATGGAAAATCTCTTATGTGCGTAATAGGTTGCTAATTCCAAACATGACCTCATTTTTCGAGAGCACTAATTACTAGTTCAGGCCCTTGAGCCATAACCGGTACAAATCGGCCTGTCTTTGGTTTTGGCCAGGGCTCGTCTCTCCTAATACTTGATTATTTAAAGCTTTCCCGACAAATTCTTCAAAACGAAGAATCAAAAGCCATAATTTAAAAAAAAGGATTTAAGTTCTCTATTTATAAATTATAAATATTAATTATATTATTATAACTAGAAGCGTACTCGTGCAATGCAGCGAGATATATCGTGATTTTAATATTTCATTTTATTCTTTATCTCAGCTGATGTTATAATATGGCTTTATGTGATTTTGAGAAAGCGATGATGTTTTTATTTTTGAATAAAATATATGTTTGAAGATATCATAAAAATTTGACAAAAATATATCGATATTAG